ACACTGTATTGTATATTTGAGTATTACTAAGGGAATAGATCTTAAAAGTTCCCACCACAAGAAAAAAAAAGTGTAACTATGTGTGTTGATGGATGTTAACTAGACTTTAATGTGGTGATCATTTTGTAACATGTACAAATATCTAATCCTTATGTCACACACCTGAAATTAATGTTTTATATTAATTCTCTCAATACAAAATTTAATTTAATTTAAAAAATTAAGAACTTTTTGACTCTTAAGTGCCTTAAGAGTTTTCCAAGAAAAAGCACAGCTGTCACTTCTACAGGTGGAAAGCATTCAAGATCCAAGGTTTCCTGTACTAATATCTGATATTCCAGATTCATTACCAAGTGTCTTTGGTTTAATTCCTTGGTTTGCCTCTCTGTTTCATAACCTGTGAAAAGCCATCTCAACTCTGATCACTCAGAGAGAAGGGCCCTTCCAACTCCAAAGATCAATGACTCTCTAAGTTGCCACCAATAGGAAAAGCATTTTTTTTTTTAATTTTTTTAACGTTTATTTATTTTGAGACAGAGAGAGATAGAGCATGAACGGGGGAGGGTCAGAGAGAGAGGGAGACACAGAATCGGAAACAGGCTCCAGGCTCTGAGCTGTCAGCACAGAGCCTGACGCGGGGCTCGAACCCACGAACTGTGAGATCATGACCTGAGCTGAAGTCGGACGCTTAGCCGACTGAGCCACCCAGGCGCCCCAGGAAAAGCATTTTTTGAAAGCTCTGAATTAAAGACACATGATCAGGTCTTCCAAAACACTGTATCAATGGTTGTTAGAAATAACTGAGAATATACATGTGACCTGAAATCCCTCAAGTCTTGAAGAGGTTTCTTAGCGTTTTCACTTGAATAAAAACATTTTTTTTTGTTATATTAGTTATTTTTCTAACCATTGACTTTTAATTAGATCACAGCTCTTTAAAGTACACGAAGCAATATTATAAGATCATTAAACACTAAAAAGATTGCATGCACTTTTAAATGTGTTACTCTTTAGCAGGTACCTCTCTAATTTAATTGGTGTAGTGGTGGGAATTTGTTTTTTTTTAAAAAATTTTTTTTTCAACGTTTATTTATTTTTGGGACAGAGAGAGACAGAGCATGAACGGGGGAGGGGCAGAGAGAGAGGGAGGCACAGAATCGGAAACAGGCTCCAGGCTCTGAGCCATCAGCCCAGAGCCTGACGCGGGGCTCGAACTCACGGACCGCGAGATCGTGACCTGGCTGAAGTCGGACGCTTAACCGACTGCGCCACCCAGGCGTCCCAATGTAGTGGTGGGAATTTGTAAAACTAGGATTCTCTCTGATATTATCCAAAAAAATGGAAGATGGAGAGGGATTTTACTTGCAATAGGTAACATCTATGTGGCCACAGGAATAAGATATTATTTGCCCATTTGAAATAATCAAGAAATACTCAAGTCAGTGAACATTTGGTGCATGGCTCTGCTGTAAACATATATGAGCTAAACAAGATCAAGAATGAACTTTGCTTAGAACAGTTATTCTCATCCTTGGCTGCACATTAGAATTCCTGGGCAGTACAGGAAAACCTCAAAACCAATGCTTCCCCCAGACCAATTCAATCAGAATTTCTAGGGGTAGAGCCCAGGCATCACCATTGTTTTTAAGCTCCTCAAATAATTTCAATGTGCAGCCAAGATTGAGAAATTATGGCTGGGTAACAATACCAGCAGTATATTTATAACTCAAAATCAGAATGCATAAAAAAACAATTCAGTGCTTTTAGAATTATGGCTAAGCAATCTATTAAAGCTTCCTGGGAAAAGCAGCCTGAAGGCAGAGCTCTGAGAGATGGGGTATTAGAGATAGGGGTGTGGGTATCTAAGTAGGTGGAGGAGGTATACATAGTAGATACAGAAGTAACATATGCTACAACTCAGGTACATCAAAGGAGATGGCACAACTGCAAAAAAGAGCTGATCACTACTTCCTAACATCCAACCTAGACACACAGCTCAGCCACTATTTGGTAGGCCATAGAGAACAGAAGAGCAAGACCTGCATCTTTCCAGACTTTAACACTGCTGGTTTAGTCCATGACTCTTCTCAGTCCCCTTAAGATACTCTCTAGAGGTTTTTCAGTCCTTCTCTTCATTTCCTTTCTTTAGGATTACCAGTATTACCAGTAATACATTAATAATAACAAGAGATTAACACTTATTGAGGGTTTAATCTTTGCCAAGCATTATGCTAATTAAGTTTTTTAATTGCATAAAAACCTTCTGAGTTAGGTCCTAGTATCATTTTCTCTATCTTTTTAGATGAGGAAGATGAGACATAGATAAATAACTAGCCAAAGTTACAGAGCTCACAGGTGGGAGTACAGAGCACACAGTGATCCTGTTTCCTGACTCCGAAAACAATGTCATTCCTTTGTGCCATATTGCTCTCCCCTTCCTTCCTTCCTATCTACCCCTATTTATCTACCTATCTCTCTATATATGTATTCTCTACATATTTATATTTACACACATAAATTCACATGTATATATATATATTTATATACACACACTTTTCAATACACACACACACACACACACAC